TCTTATCTAAACGAGGGACTTGAGCTTCATGACTTGTTGTTGTTGATTTGTTTGCTTTTTTTTTCTTCAGACAGATTTCATGCTATACCTAGGCTAGCCTTGAAATTTTTGAGTTTTTTTGAGACAGGGTTTCTTTGTGTAACAGCCTTAGCTGTCCTGGAACTAGTTCTTATAGACCAGGCTGGCCATGGACTCACAGAGATCCACCTGCCTCTGCCACCATAGTGCTGGGATTAAAGAGGATTAAAGGCATGCACCACCACCACTCAGCTTGGCCAGCCCTGAACTTTAAGCACTCCATACACCACCAAAACTTGCTCCAATGTCATGATTTGAAAGGATTCTGGCAGATTTAATAAGGCTTTTGTTTGCCTGTGGATTTTTAAAACTGTTTTTAATTATGTATATGTGAGCATGTTGCTATATAGTTATGGGCACATGTGGGTACACGTGTCCAAGAAGCCAAAGGTATTCGGTTCCCCTGGAGTGACAGGTAGTTATAACCCACCTAACATGATTGCTAGCAACTGAACTGGGGTCCTGAGTAGTGCACACTTTTAACTGCTAAGACTTTCCAGCCCTGGATTTGACAGTTCTTAATTTCATTCCCTCTATTTTGGTTTTGGATTTTTGTTGTTTTGAGACAGTCTCATGTAGTCTAGGCTGGCCTGGAATTCCTGCTCCTCCTGCTTCCACCTTGCAAGTGGTAGGATAACAGGCATGTTCCACCATGTCTAACTGCTGTGTTTATTTCGGATGCAACAGATAGTACTTTAGGCCTGGCACATACATGCTACTACTATACTCCATCACTCAGCTATACCCCAGACCATAATCCAAGGAATTCGGTTGTGCTGGTTTTTGGACAGGGTCTTGTTATACAGCCAGGGTTGGTCTAGAAATAGCTATGTATCCCACTCTGACTTTGAACTTGCGGCAGACTGCCGATTCAGCTTTCCTAGTGCTGGAACATAGGCATAGGCCACCATGCTTGGCTTGTACTTTCAGCCCACTCTGCTTTCAAACTGGCTGTGTTGCTGAGGATGACCTTGAGCTTCTGATCCTCCTGCCTCCACCTCCCGAGTGCTGGAGCAACAAGCCTGCACCACCATGCCTAGCTTAGTCTAAACAAGAGTAAAGAGTTTAAGGCTGTGGTGGCAGGGGTCAGAGCTAGAAGTCAGGAGAGTGGCCTAGACTGGTTCACGGCAGCCTCAGGGACGACACCAAGCTTCAGGCCGGAAGCAGAGCTGGAAGAATGGGACAGCCCAAGGACTCACATGGCATTCCCTACTCCGTGCTTAGCAGTTACTACATGGCTTCCAGAAGGGGAGTCAGAGAAATGGAGGAGCAGGCAGCAGAGAAGACAGACTTGGGTGGGGAAAGTGGCTCCAGGTCCTGCTCTGGCCCTGCAGGCATGATAAGCAGGTGCTAGGCCCCTACCTCGATAGTATGGCTAGTTTATCAGGGAGCCCAGGCTATCTCACCTAGGCGCAGACTCTCTCCTAGTTCCACACCCTGATCACAGAAGCCCCCACCCATAGTCAGAGGCTACAGTCACAGAATCTCTGGCTGGCAGAGATAGCTCTGTCTTCTCCTTCCAGGACCCCTCATGGCTCTCAAATTCACCCTGGGACTGGACCTCAGCGTGAAGCTTGGTCCTGATGTAGGAAGCCTTCACTCTGTAAAGCTCAGCTGGTCTGTGGGTCCTAACGTAGAGGTGGAGCCCTGGGAGGGGGTCCCAGGGAGGCAGGAGCCAATATGGCTGTAGCTAGAGCACATGGTGACATTTTCTCACCTATGCATTTCTCATTAGATCTCACAGTGTGCTGGAGCATGCAGCAGCGAGAACTCAGAGAAGAGCAACTTGCCACCAGCCACACAGCTAGTGAGCCAAAGGAGCGGGGAGCAGACTGCAGCAGCCAGTGGGTTTACATTTGGGGAATTGGAGGCTGATTTAGGTCCTAAGTTATGGAGCCAGATGCAGTGAGCTGTGACTGTCACTGCTAAAGCTGGGCAATCTCAGTGGGTCCAAAGTGTTTTCAAGAATATTCCATGGGAGTCAGGGATGGAGGTGGATGCCTGCTATAATTCAGCGGTGGAAGCAGGATGAGCAGGATCAAGTTACACAGGGAACCCCAGCACAGGCTCAGACACACAGAAAGGAAGGGAAGGAAGACAGGGTTTCCGATGTCTTCTCTGTGATCTGTGGGAAGGAGCAGAGCAGCCTTGGGTACTAACTTATTTGAACTCCTGAGGCTAACATCTGCACTGTGTTAATCAAAGTGAGCCTGAAGCGAAGGCCTGTAATTCCAGTTACTTGGGAGGCTGAGGCAGGGCTGAAAACTGAAGGCTTCCCTGAACTGTACAGTGAGCTTAAATGTCAGTTTGGGCAACTCAAAATAGAAAGTAAAAAGTGGGGGTAGAGGATTGGAAATGTAGTTCAGTTGTTACAGTGCTAAGGTTCTGGGTCCATTTCTCAGCACTGAATAAACCTGGCATTGTGATGAATGCTTGCAGCCCTTGCACTCAGAAATTAGACAAGAGGCTCAGAAGTTCAACGTCATCCTCAGTTATAAATAGGATTTAAGGTCACATGAGACTGTATTTCAATAATAATAATAATAATAAGAGCAAGGCATGCCTTTAACCCAAACACTCAGGAGACGGAGCTGGCGTATCTCTGAGTTCCAGGTCAGCCAGATCTATACAGAATTCCAGGCCAGTCAGAACAACATAATGAGACCCCTGCCTCAAAAAAAAAAAAAAAAAAAAAAAAAAACAAAACAAAAAAAAAAAAAAAAAAAAAAAACCCCAACAAAAAAAAAAAAAAAAAAAAAAAAAAAAAAAAAAAAACAAGAGATGGGTGTAGTGGTGTATTCCTTTAATCCCAGCACCCTAGGAGGTAGAGGCAGGTGGATCTCTGTGAGCTCACGACCAGCCTGGTCTACACAGTTATAGCAATGAGCTCCAGGCCAGCCAGGGCCACACAAAGACCCTGTCTCAAAACAAACAAAAGAACAATAACAACAAGAAAAGTGTTGCCATCCATACCTACATAAGACTGTATCTAAACAATTAAAGTAAATGAAACAAAATATGACTAGGCAGAGAAGGTGTCCCTGTACCGGAACAGTGCTAACTGGCTGAGGGAAGCTCACACAGCAGAGGTGGAACACCAGCCCGTGCTGTGGCAGTAAACAGAACACCTCTAACAAACCAAAAGGTTAGGTCTCTCCTCCACCCCCACCCCCACCCTATTCTAATGTAGTTTGCACCTGCAGAGGAGACAACAGACCAGACTGTCTAGGATAAGAAAAGGGGGCAGAACATCCCCCCAGAAAGAGGGTCTAAATAGCAGAGGCTCAGCTATGGAGAGTGTCTCACCAGGAATCTCCCCTTCCCCAAGGAGACAGACCCAAATAGTGCCAGGCTCTCACTTGAAGTGCCTTGGGCTCTAAAGAGTGGACCCCCACAAGAGCTGGGGCCTCAGGTGCTCTTCAGTCTCCCAGCAGGGTAACACTCACCCAGGGACCTTGCCAGAACAGTGTGGCCAACAGGCTTTGGCTCTGGCCATTTCCAGCGTACTGAGCTCAGCAAAAGAACAAATTCTAGGAATGGAAATTTAGGCTGAGGGCTCCACTGAGCTTGCTTCAAGAGACTCCATATAGATCCAGCTGCCAGGACCCTCCCTGTCCTACAGATTCAATGAGCACTCCCAACCATAACCCAGAAGAAAACAAGGCCTTTCAGCAGGGCTCCAACAAACAACTAAGCCCTGAAGATGGGGTGAGGGCTTTTCTACTTCCTAGAAGTGGGTAGGTAATCAGCTTCACGGGGTGGGGGTGAAAGTCACTCATTTCAAAGAATGGGGGCAGCTGGGTGGTGGGAACACACACCTGTAATCCCAGCATTCAGGAGGTAGAGGCAAGTGATCTTTGTGAGTTCTAGGCCAGCCTGGTCTACAGTGTGAGTTCCAGGACAGCTAGAGCTATTACACAGAGACACTTTGTCTTGAAAAACAACTAATAAATAAAAATTTAAAAAATATAAAAAATGGAGGCAGGATGGAAGTGTAGTGCCAGTGATGGGGGTCTTAGATGGTATGCATTAGGCCCTAAATTTCAGCTCCAGCATTTAAAAAAAAAAAAAAAACCAATAAATTAAACAAAAAGGGAAAGGAGCTAGTAACTTGTTTCATGAAGCCAGCAGGGGAAGAGTTAAGAAGTAGGGACTTGTAGAACCCGGGGGAAAAGTACCCCACCCAGGGGAGGAGCCAGAGGGTTAAAAGCAGAGCCACTAGAGCCTGAAGAGACAAGACAGGCTGGCCCTGTGCAAAGGCTTCCCCAGACTGCAGCTCCAGCTTCAGGTAAGCACTCCCCAGAGTGGCTGCCAGCCTGCTTACAGGTCTGCCCAGAGGGAACCCTCCGCCTCATTGCTCCTAGCTCTAACTCTGCACCCCTAATAGATCTGAATAGACCTTAGCTTCTTCCTCTAGCCACCTGGGTTACCGGGGCTACAGAATCTCTGAGGGGAGTGGAAGAGCAAGGAGGTATGGGTCCAGCCTTGACTGATCCTGCCCCAATGCCTTGGCTCTGCACACCCACAGCTCTCTCCTCCAGGGCCTTGGCTGGGATATCATCATATACTGTAAGTTTGTGATGAGACACTACAGTATAGATGATGTACTAGTCTGGGTACCCCATTCTAGCGTCTGCCTGGGAGGGCAGAAGAATGCTGAAGCCCACGGGGCTCACTGCTCAGCCCATCAAGCCTACTGACTGCTGTGGCACTTGGGGATGGCGAGGAAACCGTTACCATTACTGAGTTTAGTAATGGTAACGGTTCTCTTGCTGCTCCCAGAAACTGTGTCAAGAAGAGCTCAATGCCCCGGAGCAGACTTCTGGAAGAAAAAGAGACCCCAGGCTGACAAGAGAATGAGGGGCAGGGGAATGGGTCTATTTTTCTCTTCCCTGTTTCAAAGAAATAAAGATAAAAATACGAACACTTGTCATTTAACTTTATTAGCACCCAGGTCTGGGTAGCAGGATGGGGTGGGAAGGATCAAGAAATTGGGTGAACAGGTGGTTGGGACTATCTCATTTAAGAACTAAAGGTTGAAGCCAGCAGTAGTGGCGCACGCCTTTAATCTCAGCACTCAGGAGGAAAGACAGGTGGATGGATTTCTGTGAGTTCAAAGTTAGCCTGGTCTACATGGCAATAGTCAACCAGAATTGTATAGTAAGAACCCTGTCTCAAGGTGGGGAGGGGGAGCTGAAAAGAGATGGTTCAGTAGTTGAGAGCACTGGCTGCTCTTCTAGATGACCTGGATTCAATTCCCAGCCACCACATGGCAGTTCACAACTGTCTATAGACATTTCCAGTTCCAGGGGATCCAACAGCCTTACACAGACACACCAATGGAAATAAATAAACCATTAAAAAAATGAAACACACAGGTCCTTATGTAACTTCAAAGTGAGGAACTTGGGGACAAAGAGAAAGGTTCTTCCTACCAACAACTGGAAACAGGGCAAGAGTTTGGGTTTGGGTCCGATGCTACAGGATGAATGGAATGACCCTATTCACACCACAGGGATAGACTTCTAAGACCTACATAGCTGAGACCCCAGGCAGAGGAACTACCTGAGAACTGAGCTAAGGCAGCTTCTCTCCTCCAACGGAAAACATGGTTGGGCAGGCACTGTGCAGACTCAACAAGTCCAGACTGGCTAGCAGCCCAGTGTCCATGGCCCTTAGCAGCCCTGCAGCCCCCCCTTTCACAGGGTAGTTCTAGTCAGTTACTTTCCCAAAAGCTCGAGCAGGGAGGCCCTGGGAACAGCAACAGAGGATGGTCATTTGAGAAGTTTCACGGAGAGGCGGATGTTAACATCACAGAGGAAGATGTCCATGAGGTCTCGGCCTACTTCCTGTGCAATCTGGGAGATCAAGAGGCCCTTCTGGCCAATCAGGATCCGCTGCAAGTGGTGAAAAGAGACACTTGGTTCTGTTGTCTGGCCTCACAGGTGGGGGAAAGAACCCTCGGCTGTTACTGCTGCTGCCCCATCTCTGAGCCTGTCCTCACTTACCATATGAGATTCTTTGGGTACCAGAAGGTTCTGCTGGATCACTAGCTCCCCACTTGGTCCTTCCTCCCATATCACTGTCTTCTGTATAAGGAGACATCATGACTAGTCAGGCAGGCTCATTTTTATCTTATGGTACCCAACTGTTCCAGGTGTGTGCCTGGTGTACAGGCCCTGGGTCCTTTCATTCCGTCCACACCTGCTGCACATTGTAGGGCACCTCCTCAGGCAGGTACTCTAGGAGCTTCTCTCGGATTTTGTTGGTACAGATCTCTTCAGGGGTCTGGCTAGTGAGGACTCCGCTATGGAACTCCCAGGGTCCTGGCTTGGCCTGTGCTAGAAGGTACTGCTGTGGGTACAAAGGAAGAGTGAGCTCATAACCCCCTCAGTACTTCCCTATTTATGCATACTTCTAGGAGAAACAAGCACATTTTGTTTTTGACAGGTCCTCATGCAGCCCCCAAACTGACCTTAAAATTGCTATGTAGAGCTGGGCAGTGGTGGTGCATGCCTTTAATCCCAGCACTTGGGAGGCAGAGGCAGGTGGATCTCTGTGAGTTCAAGGCCAGCTTGGTCTACAAGAGCTAGTTCCAGGACGGGCTCCAAAGCTACAGAGAACATAGAAACCCTGTCTTAAAAAATTAAAAAAAAAAAATTGCTACATAGTAGCAAAGGCTGGCTGGCAATTTTTTCCCCCCAAGACAGGGTTCTCTGTACTTTGAAGCCTGTACTGGAACTCGCTTTGTAGACCAGGCTGGCCTCAAACTCAGAGATCCACCTGTCTCTGCCTCCCAAGTGCTGGGATTAAAGGTGTGCAACACCACCGCCCAGCCTGGCTAGCAAACTCTTGATTCTTCTTTACCCTGACAAGCCCTGAACTATTCAAGTGAGCTATCACAACTGACTGTAATGCCTCTTTTAAAAAAGACAGGATCTCATGGAGACCAAGCAGGCCCGGTACATCCTAATTTGTTCCGGATTGTCTTGAATTTCCAGTGTTAAAAATGTCCTAAATGCTACAATTAGAGGTGTGCACCGCCATGTCCACTTTATTTGGTGCTAGAGATCGAATCAGCACCTCTTATACACTAGGCAACCATTACACCGAGATATATTCCTGTTCATTTCTGGTCTCTTTATGTAGCCTGGCTGGCCTATAACTCCAGTGGAGACCAGGCTGGCCTCAAACTGAGTAATCCTTCTGCTTCTGCCTCCTGAGTGTGGGGATAACAGGTGTATGTCACTACAGCTGGCTGTTTTTGGTTTCCTGAGATAGGGTCTCATTGTAACTGAAGTGCCTCTTGAATTTACTGTGTAGTTGAAAATGACCTTGAACTCCTGAGATCCTCTTGCCTTGTCCTCCGGAGTGCTGGGATTACAAGTATAAATTACCACAGCCAGGTTTTTGTTTTGTCTTTTAAAAGACAGGATCTTAGTTTACAGTCAGGCAGGGCTGGGTGAGGCCTATCTTTCCATGGCAGAGATGGGCTATGGGCAAGGCTAACTAACCTTTAGTGTGTTCACATCCTTGTTGTTTAGTGCTGATAACATGAAGATCTCCTGGAAGTAGGGCCAGCCAATTCTCTGAGGGTTTCTCACTGAGTGAGTATTGGGGTCCCTAGTTGCAGGGCTGGGGCAGGGGGTGCCAAGGTGTGCCGCCTGCTTGATGTTGAGCTTCTTGCCATTGACCACACCTTCAGTGAGGGCTGCTGTCAGCTCCAGGAGAACTGACTTCTGCTTCAAGCAATCTACCTGTAGATGGGGGTGAGCAGAGTACATGGTGAGTGAGATGAGATCATGGAGAGACTCTTCTTCAGATGGGCAGTACTCACCTTGTTCAAGACCAGGATGCTGGGAACCTGAGAGAAGCGGGTCAAACACTGCAGCACCTGGGGGCTCAGCTGGCTCCTGGTCCACTTGTCTGACACATCCACAAGAACTACAACTAGAAGGCAGCAGGGAGACAAACTAGACCATGACCTTCATCCTGACCCACAACAAGTTCCAGGCTATAGGTTCTGGCCAGACCCCAAGCTCCCAAACTCTCAGGAATAAAAGGCTCTGTAAACAGGGTTTCAGATTTTTAGAGTCTAACCAAGATCAGCAGATTCCATGCTCTTCCATGGGTCTTCCAACAAAGACAGCTCCAGATGGTGCCTAAAAGATAAACCTTTATCGGTCAGGAAGGTCGTACTCTTATGAGGAATGGGTGTAACAGGGAAAACCTGTAGCTCCTAGGAAGGAATATGCCCTCCTCTTTATCACCCCACCTTCCCCACATCTGTTCCCATAAGTAATACCTCTTCTGTTTAACAGGACTGATGATGCCAGGTGTGTCGAGCAGAATCTAGAATCAGGAGAGATACCCACCCCCGCAAAGGAAAAGATTTTTAAAATAGATTAGTGGGGAGAAAGACCATATATATCCCCACTTTAGGTTCTAGGAGTCAACCTAGGGCTTTATATATATTAAGTAAGGTCTTTTTGGGGCTAGAGAGATGGCTCAGAGGTTAAGAGCACTGGCTGCTTTCCAGAGGTCCTGAGTTCAATTCCTAGCAACCACATGGTGGCTCACAACCATCTGTACTGAGATCTGGTGCCCTCCTCTGGCGTGCGGGTATACATCGAGGCAGAATGTTGTATACATAATAAA